CCTCTGCTTCTACATACGTTTTAAATGCTTGGTAAGGTATTTTTGTCTTACCCTGTGTGATGGTAGCAGTGGTAGTATTCCTCTCCAGACTCTGTAGTGGCCTTTGGCGCAGTATAAACTCCTGCACCTCTGTCATTGTCCTGGATATAATATCCGCCGTTGGATTCTCTCCATAAAAGGACAGCCTAAACTGCAGCTGTCTCTGGAACTCCTCTTGCTCAGATCCATCTGCTGAACTCCGCTGCTCAGGGATTACCCTGTCCTCATTCTGGTATTCAGCCATCACTTCTGCTATGAGAGTGGCTTTCCTTTTGTTGCTTGCTGCAATACCCGTCGCTTCCAGGAGATCTTTTAGCGTGGATCTTTTTAGCTTGGCATAATCACTCTCCATCCGTATTTCATTAGTCCTTGTTCCCTTGTGAGTCTGGATCCCAGCGCTGCCAACCAATGTAGTGGAGAGCTGGTATTACACAGCCTATCTCCACTTTGAATCCCAGGGAGGTTCAGGAACAAGCACTTATAAATCCATAGGGTAAAGTATCCAGCAGGCAAAATAACAGCAGTATCCCAACAGCAATCCCAATAACTGGACGACACACAGTTTCAGGAGCATAACTAAAGCTTTATTGAGACAGTGGCCTTTTAAAGCCTGCTCCCATGCAAGGGAGGGATTTTCATTCATAAGTACAGTAGCCAATCCTGCTCTGGTAACCTCCCATACATCTCCTCCCCTGCATCATAATCCCCTTATCCAGCACACCAATTCCCCCGTTTCTGGATGTACCCCTAAACTTAGGGGTACCACTTTAAATTATACACCCCCCTGGTAGCCCTGATCTGGGTGAACAACATATCCAAAAATCACCCAGATCAGACCAGGGGTTCGGGAAATTTATAGAGGGAATAAAATGACCGACCGCACTGGGTGAAACAGCCGAATGCGGTTCCATGTGAATGGGCCCTATGGTCGGTCCTGGAGTCAGGGAATAAATGGCATGAAAACCTCTAGCTACAGAGGCTAGGGAGGGTTCGCCTGAATCCCCTCGTTCGGTTCTTTCTATCTACGAGTTAGGAACCGAACGGACCGGGCTTGTGGAGGTTTCAGCGGTGTTCGCCTAGTCGAGTGTCCGATTTTAGTTCCAGACACGGGTAATTGAGGACACACTTCACACAGGGGAGGTCTAACTGTTCGGTAGTTTCATTCGAACAAACTAAGGGAATGAAACTACCTAACATTCAGACGAATACAATACATTAAATACATAGAACTTTGCTGTTTTCACACGAATGCATTAAAATACATGAAATTCTCAGGACAACCCAGGGCCATCCGCTACAGAGCTAACTGGGCTGCGGTATTAAGCAGCAAATTATCAGGCAGAGCAGCAGAAGCATTGAGAGCCATGCCAGATGGGGATATACAAAACTATGAAAAGATAACAGAAGGAAATTTCAGGCCCTCAGGAGACAAGGCTAGGATTCCTACACAGAGTGAGCATTTCGTATGCAATGCGCTGCCAGTAACTGGATGCAGGAGAGTCAGGCGACTACCTTAGAAGATGCCGTACAATTAATGCTACTGGAGCAGTTTTATGACTACACTCCAGTGGAGGTTAGAGACTGGGTCAGAGACAGGAAGCCACAGACTGTGGAAGAGGCAGCAAAATTGGCGGATGAATTTCACGAGAGCAGACGGCTGGATGGAAATCGAGGGTTCACTGGGTCGCGCCCCTCACCTGGTCCTACAGCTACCCCGCAGAGGGTAACTCCACCAGGGAGCAACGCTACAACCACTGGATATCAAAAGACCGCTCCAATGTGTTATGGGTGCAAGCAAGTGGGACACATGAAACCCAATTGCCCACAACGTACTACAGACCGCTGGGGGCGAACACCAGTTCCACCGACAAAAGCAACAGCACACTGTGTACAAGAGGATTACAACCCCTCTACTCAAGGGTCGCCCAGTAACAATACCGAAAATTGGTCCACGTTACATGAATTGAACCCCGTACAAGCTGCTGGAGATAACCGGTCTCACCACCGTCAGTCCGTGAAGTTAAATGGACAAGAAGCTAGAGGACTGAGAGACAGCGGAGCTACTATTACCCTAGTACAGCCTCACCGGGTCACCCCTTCGCAACACACAGGACATACAATTGCTGTAAGGGTGGCCGGAGGGGCAATACATAAACTGCCAACGGCTCGGGTACACATTGATTGGGGTAGTGAGGGTATTCCTTTACCTGATCTCCTCCTCAGGAACCTACAGGGGTAGAACAAGTCCAGTTATGCCCCGAAATGAGCCCAGAGGAGCAAGCTCAGGCTTCCCAACTGTTAGAGGGATTTGGGGGCATGTTTTCTGCGGCCCCAGGCTATACGACCCCGGCAGTCCACAGAGTGGAGACCCCAGGCCAGCAGCCCTACCGGATCCCCGAAGCAGTACGGGAAAGCATGTTAAAAGAAATCCAGGATATGTTAGAGCTAGGAGTAATAGAGCCGTCTCAAAGCCCGTGATCTTTCCCGGTGGTCCTGGTTCCCAAAACAGACGGTACCACCTAGTTCTGCGTGGATAATCGCAAACTAAATGATAGGACAGTCACAGACGCATACCCCATGCCCAGAGTGGATGAGTTACTTGACCGCATGGCTGGGGGGAATTATTTGACCACTATTGATTTGTGTAAAGGGTATTGGCAAATTCCCTTGGAGCCTGAGGCCATTCCAAAATCGGCATTTGTCACCCCATTTGGCCTTTGCCATTTTAAGGTCATGCCATTTGGGATGAAGAATGCCCTGGCTACTTTCCAAAGGATGGCTGACCGGCTCCTAGAGGGATTTCAGGGCTTCGCTTGTGCTTATCTGGATGATAAAGCTATCTTCAGTGGCACCTGGGAGGCCCACCTGGAACACATCTCAGTAGTGCTCAACTGGATTCAAACTGCAGGGCTCACCTTAAAGCCCGAAAAATGCCAAGGCATGGCTGAAGTCCAGTATTTAGGACACAGAGTAGGGTCAGGGAAACAGAGGCCGGAACCAGCAAAGATTGAGGGCATTACACAGTGGCCCCAACCCAGACTAAAACACAGGTTATGGCGTTCTTAGGCACCACAGGTTATTATAGAAAATTCGTAGCTGAATACAGTGCCCTAGCCAAACCCCTGACTGACCTCACTAAAAAGTCACTACCCCGACAAGTAGCCTGGTCCCCTGAGTGCGAGGAGGCTTTCCAGAAACTCAAAGCTGCGTTACGTGCACCTGATCATACTAAAAGGATTCTTGTTCACACAGATGCCTCAATATTTGGACTGGGAGCAGTATTAAGCCAGGTTGGAGACGATGGCATGGACCACCCAGTGGCATATCTGAGCAGGAAACTATTACCACGCGAAGTCAGCTATGCCACCGTTGAAAGAGTGTCTGGCATTAGTTTGGGCACTTAAAAAATTACAACAAAAGCAATGAAAGGCTGCGCCAGAAAAAAATAATAAATAGTAAAAAATACACAGATAAAAAATGTTTATAAAATATAAATAAAGAAAATTAAAAAATAAAATAAGTGTATAAAACAGTCCCAATTTATATCAAAGATTATATATTCTTAGTTGCTGTTTCAGCTGGTAGGATCTCTTCTCTGTTTGTAGTGGATTGTCTCGCAATATAAAAGACACAATGAGAAAGGACCAATCGTGTAGAGTGTATAAAATAGATGTCAATAAATTAAAGTATAAATTGTACACTGACGTTCGAATGAGCTATGTCCAGCTCAGGTGTAACAGGCATACAGCGGATTAATCCCCGCTTGTGGGATGTGTGGATGCTTGTCCTCTGGAGGGTGATGGTATCCAATTCTCAGGGAAAGAGAAATAGAAACAACCAATAGTGCTCTCTGTTGACACGATGTAGAAATAGGTTGAAGTGAAATAAAAAGTACTCACAAGTATGGCTATTTCGTGCAGTTTCAAAGAACCGAACAAACTACCGAACCACCCGACCTCCCACTGAGGTTGTGTGCAGCTCATTTACCACCCAGACCTTGCGGTTAACCGCAAGGCAATTGATGAAAGGCTTGGTGATCCACATTCGTTTGTCATCGAACACTCAGCGGTAGATGGGCGTCGATCCTCTGGAACTATTTTCTGACACTTATTCAGCCGCACACCGCTGACGCGTACCATGTTCCCGTTCATAAGGCTAATAACTCCCGAACACGTTAAACACTTTACCGTTCAGGACTTTCCTACTATACAAGATAGACCGACCCCAGGTAGTTGCAGTAATGGAACTCTTTTCGGATTCAATTTCCCGAACAACTGGTGAACTAAAACTTTACTCGACGATATTGAGAACTGTGTTCGTGGGATCTGAGCGCTATTCGGCTATATTGTGCGCTCAGATCCAAGCTATCTGGGGGTATGTGGAACATAGAGTCTATGTTCGGCAAAATATAAGTTATGGATTCTAATACTGTTTTGTTAAAATATAAAAAGGACATGTTTTTCTCTAACTGGAGATAATTAGGTTCTCTTGAACCACTTAAGTTAATTATCTCCAGGATAGAGAGGAGGGGTTGCACTGTTACTGTGGGTGTGTTTAATCATTGTACTGTAAACTGATTGGTTCTGTAGATTTTGTCACAGTCTTCCACAAGGTCCCATGTGGGAGTTCCCTTGCTGGGAGACCATCAAAAAGGGCTAGGTTTGGCCATCAATAAATCAGATCGTTTTACCCCTTCATGAAGTCTCGACTCATGTTTGGGGGAATTGGGAGTTATTATCACTACTTCGTTACTATTCTGCTGGGAATTTGGGAGAAGCTGCAAGGATTGGTACTACGGAGTTAATAGGATCCTTTACAATTATAAATTAGGACAGAAATCCATTGTGATATATAATGATGGATCCTGTATCTACATTTTTTTTATAACACATTGTTTAGAGTATATTTTATATGTATGGTATAATTGTATATATGAGCAACATCACACTGCACGAGCAATATGTAAATGAAGCATTTTGAAAACAACCCATAAGGACTTGAGACTTTGCCCTTTTATGCCCATCTCCAATATGGAGTAATCAGCAACTCCTGAGGAAGCCAGAACTGAACGGCGAAACGCGCTGACTTCATCGAGAAGGGCGGAGCTTGCGGACTTACTATTCACAGCGGGAAGCTAAGAACATCGAATCTGCCACAAAGACGCTGCAAAATCACTGCCAGGATCAAAAGAGAATTTCACCCCGCTTGTGGAGACGTTTACAGCCCACCCATACTGAGCTTGATCAGTAAGTAGCGGCGTATCCAGTGATTACTCACCACCTGTTTCTGTAAGAGGCAGAGCTCCTCACCATTTTATTCATTTATTTACTTCTTGTCACTTGTCCGTTAATAAATTGTAAATTTTATATCATCCACCCTGTGATCTTTGTCTGCAGTTAGCACGGTCCTCTAGGGCAAAAACATGCACAGTCTTTCAATGCAACTTCATTCCAGGCACTTTATTTGTAAGATTACATATGAGGCAGCAGCAAATGAAAACATAAATATAACAGGTTTCCCTTTAAACAAAAACCTAGCTCGTCTGAGCACTGACTCACTTTGTATAACCCTCTCTATCAGGGTTAAACTAACAAAACATACTGCACCAACCTTATTAGTTAGCAACACTCTGCTAGCTAGCCTGTTGCTTTCCTTTCTGCACTCCCAGTGCTCCAAGCCAGCCTTGCCCTGACTGCTTTCCTTTCTGCACTCCCAGTGCTCCAAGCCAGCCTTGACTGCTTCCTCATGCACTCCCAGTGCTCCAAGCCAGCCTTGCCCTGACGGCTTTCCTTTCTGCACTCCTAGTGCTCCAAGCCAGCCTTGACTGCTTCCTCCTGCACTCCCAGTGCTCCAAGCCAGCCTTGACTGCTTCCTTTCTGCACTCCCAGTGCCACTCTATCTGGAGAGAACAGCCTCTCTCCTACCTGCTTCCTGGGAGGAAGCCAGCAATCCCTGCCCTTTACCTGCCTAGCAGGGAGGAGTTTATTCCCACTGCAACAGCTCATTAACTGCAGCTGAGCAGTGGGTTGGAGACGATCCAAAAAACCCTGGCCTGGATCCATGTCTCCCCAGAAAACCACTAAACTGTGGAGTGGAGCATTGGCCCACCCTTCTCTCCAAATGCTTCACCCCAGGGGCCCATAACTAAACAATGCTTTGTGTTGTGCAACACACAAACTACACGTACTTCCCCTGGGGTTAAAAGGCCTATCTGCCTTCACTTTATCACAACCCTTAAAGGATTACTACATATTTATACACTTTCTGAAGTATATCACCTGCATAAATCTCTCTAGATAAGATTTATGCACCTTTAGAGTGATTGTGTATGGGAAAATTATCAAACGATCTGTACTATTTGCTCTATTTCCTCAAACGCCACCTATTGGAGGATATACTCAATACGTTTGTATACATTACATAATTTAATATTCCGGGCCTCACCTAGGATATAGAGGTGGCCACAGGGCGACCTCCTTAGCAGCACAGTATAGGGGCAGCACCCCAGTCAGGCACAGGTTAATCAGGGAGAACATTAACCCTAGCAGCCCCAGCAATACAGAGATATGAAGTGTAACAAAGACACAGAAGGAAATATGCAGTAATATGAGGATAAGAACAATTTACAGAATAAACAAGAAATCATATATATATAAGTAGTAAGATAATAAAATAAACGTTTATATAAGGTATTAGTAAAGGGAAGAGACAAAACTCTGACCAGTCTGCAATGGAGCAGTAAAGAAAGAGGAGGAGGGGCCTATTTACTGGGATAATATACTCCCTATTGCATTTTGATTGGTTAAATGTTTTCACTTTCTTTACTGCTGTGGAGTTTAGTAAAGAGAATTATGCAAAATACTTGCCTCCTGTCGTTATTAAAATTAAGATTATAAGTACACTAGCGCTAGCATAATCTTCAATTGCACCTAAATGTGTAGAAATTAGATATTTAGGAATTACAAATTCCAAAGAACTTTCCCACGCTGTGCAAAATGACTCATAACACTCTGATTGGATGGCTTGAAATCCATCCAATCAGAGTGCTCTGTGCCATTTTACTCAGCGTAGATAGCTCACATGCTGCACTGGCCGAACCCATGTTCGGGGTCCAAAAACCGTAATGTTTGGTATTCAACTCTAGTTATGATGGTAAGAGTACCCTGGCTTGTTCCCCAGTAATGAGGCAAAACTTTTTATAATGGTCCCCATTAGGGGCCTCTCCAGTGAATACAGGGTTACAACTTATGGATTCTGCAGAGCGAATGCTGATCCTGCTGTGCACTTTCAGCCAATGAATACCCAGCCCAGTGCATAGAAATATGTACAGAATTTACATCAGCAAGTCTATGGCTAATGACTCCCCAATCATGGTGCTGAAGGTGGAGTTACACCTCCAGCAGCAAGAGTTAAATTCAGTATGTATAGCGATTCATGGCAATATGCTGCACATATAGACATCAAGGACCATGATGACTTCAAATCACTGAGATGTAAAGTTTGTCATGTTTCCTATTATACAGCGCCACAGAATATGTTGGCGCTATATACGTTTGTAAAAATGTAAATGTATTCCAACTAATTAAAAAATACTATAAAAAAACAAATAATCGGCTGACAGTGCGATGCTTCTTTAACTTGGGTTTTCAGATTTCAGGGATCAAAATACCCTTTAATAGAGGGACAAACTGTACAGACACATCATGCAGAGCAACTTGCAGCCACTATTGCCCATAAAATCTGAACTACCGATCAAAACAGGAACAAAACAATCATGGCCAGATTTAATTAACCAGGAAGAACCGTTCGACGCTTGATGCACACAGCCTCAGTTCCTGGTTAGTTCCCTCCCATTTTACCAGTAATTATCATGTGACAAGCCAGACTAGCAGCCACTCGGAACGAAGCAGTAGCCACGAGCAGCAGCAATGTCCCTGGTACAACCCAGGCAAAAAGTGCTCCCCCTACTGGCCGCATTGTTCACTCTGCTTCTTCAACCGGGGGATTCTAGAATCACTTACGAACCCACCTGGGAATCTCTGGATTCCAGACCGCTTCCAGCATGGTTCGACGACGCTAAATTCGGGATCTTCATCCATTGGGGAGTGTTCTCAGTGCCCAGCTTCGGGAGCGAGTGGTTCTGGTGAGCACGGGGGTAAACTCTAACTGACTGCAATACTCAGACTTGCACTGGGTGGGTTAGTGTGATTGGCATTGGCTGGAGGAGTTGTTGAACTGATGCTGCAATAGTTAGACTGGCACTGGCTGGAGTAGTGAGACTGAGTATTGAAGTGGCTCTGGCTTAAATAGTGGGACAGAGATTGGGTTGAGTAATGGGAATGGCGCTGTTTAGAATAATAAGATTGACACTCCATAAAGTAATGAGACACTCACTGGCTGGAGCTATGAGATTGGCACTGACTGGAGTAGGGCTGCTTGCATGGACTAGAGCAGTGAGACGGGCACTCCCTCGAGTAATGAGACAGGCACTCCCCTAGATGTTGTAAAAGTAAAAATGCCATAATGTTTTGCCAGTATGTCAATGTTTCAAGGTTGCCGTTTCTACAATATGGTTATCTACTATTTGCCCACCCTACATTTCTACAATCTGGTTATCTACTATTTGCCCACCCCTGCTCTAGAGTTATGGCACTGGCTTGAGTAGTGCCACTGGTACTAAATAGTGTAGGAAGGCTGATACATCCTGGATTATATGGGGTGACCTTTGCTACAGTTTTGGTTTAAACTCCTGTAGAACTTTTCTGCAAACCTTGGCTTTATTCATCTACCTTCACCTTGTTAGGTGTACCATTCCTTCCATTTTGTTATGATCTCAATACATAAATTATTTTTTTCAGTGCATCAGTATTTGATGTACCGTGGTCTACAGATCTCCTCCCATAATCCCCATGTTTTACCATGTAGTTTCTGTGGCAGAGTGTGCCATATTCTCCTACTTGTTCTTGTGATCTAGAATGTTAAAGGGAACTCTGCAGTTCTCCAGTGTCGGATTAGGACCTTTTTGGTTGCTAAGAATAACAGCTGTGTAGTTTGCCCTTGACAGGGTAACTGGGGGTGCAACAGGAATATGCATGGGCATGCAGGTATCTGGGTGTGAAGTACTTTTGTAATTAGGGCAAACACTGAGCTCCACAGTGTTTAAACTTTTGAACAGGTCCACCAAGTATAACCATGGGAACGAAGTTTATTAGTACTGAATTTCTTATAGAGCGAGGGTATATGTGTAACATATCCAAAGTTAGGGTATGTCAAATGGCACATAAAAATTAGAGACTATATAGTATATCTATAATGAGAATAGAATAAATGTACAGAGCATATATACACACACACCCCCCACCTCCCCAGAACACTCACCTATCCACTAAACAGCAACTATAATGTTGAAAGAGTATTTTTTTTTTTTTTTTAAACACCTAATCTAGGAAAAATAATGGGGGTTTAGTTACAGTATATGATCATACAATGCATTAGCCTGCCACAACGTCAATGTGCCCCATCTTTGGCAGGTCCTACACTAACAGCCTAATGTCTGCTCTTATGAGATTAACCCATTTACTTGGGGGAAAAAAATTCCATCTGGGGCTCTCTGCAGTACAAGGCTAAATAGGGCCCTGGGATGAGGCACCTGTGACAGGGAGGGGAGCAAAACAAAGGAGTTGGCTAGACTCCAAAAAATTAATAATTTATATATATATATATATACACACACACACACACACAGTGGGACCTCGGTTTAGAAACGCCTCGGTTAACATAATTTTCGGTTTACAAATGAAAATCCATTGAAAATAATGCCTCGGTTTACAAATTTTTTTGCAATACAAAGCAAGTTTCCCCAGGATGCATTGCACCTGGGAGGTTTATAGCACCGCCCCCTGCATGGTGGAGACTGTGGGTAGCACGTGGCGCAGAGTGTGGAGGTGTTGGAGCGCCTTTTGCATCGAGTTCTGGAGCCATTCTGGGAATTGTTTGCAGTTGTTTTGGGACTTTTTGGTGCATTTCTCAAGCTGTGGAAAGTTAGGGAGCTGAGCTTCATCATTTGCATGCCTTTTATTGTGTTCTGCATTGTGGGTTGGTTTCCATGCCAGCTCATTTTGACTTTTTTTTTTTTTCTTACCTCCAGAACGGATTAATTGGGTTTTCAATGCATTCCTATGGGAAACCGCGTTTCAGTTTACAAATTTTTCGCAATAAGAAATCTCCTGGAGAACGCATTAAATTCGTAAACCGAGGTCCCACTGTATATATAAAACAAGGGTGGGGGTTGGCTGCACTCACCTGAACATGCATAAATGGGGGTGTTGCGGGGGGCCAAATTATAC